ATTGAATTTGCGAAAATATATTATAAGTATTTTTGCACATTTATGGTGCTTTTATTAGGATACTTTCTGACGATTTATTATGCTGTTTTGTCTAAGCTCCTTGAACAATGCGACAGACACAAGCCATCTGCAAGCAAGTGATTTTATTATACCAGCTTGAATTAGTCTGTATATTTAATAAAGTTGATGTAGACTTGCTTTAAGGAAACCAAGAACTTGTTAACAAAATATGCTGGGAATTTAACCATGGGCATTATATTTCATCGTTTTTATTACAGCTAACGCCTACAAATAGGAAAAAAACCACTTGGTACGTACACTCACGATTAAAAAAACACTGTTCAAAACTGATGAACTAGACTTATCTGTCATAAGTAGATTAGTTCATATTTTATTTATGATTTCATACGAATACTGAATACATTTGGAACAACTTTGAGATTCCCTTTCACCAAAATTAAACATGCACGGGATATTTTAAAGTTAACCTATATTTAATTCAGGACTACATAACAGTTTTAACTTTCTCGCAAAACTTAACAATAAACCATGTTTTTAAGGAAATACAGTAATTTGGTAGGTATTCGCTCCGTGCATGACACGCAGCGCCGCCCTCGGTGTCAGAATCGCGCAATACCGTACCCCCGTATGATTAAATCGTAACACTGTCGCTAATAGGAGAAAGTATTATTTATTGAATAAGAGGTACATACTGCTATCGCGTAAACATCAGCACCCTAAAAAATGGATATCATTATCCAAACAGGCTTTAAAAGTATAAGTTGCAACATAGTTTTTAATAATGAAACGCTGAAAAAAGCTAAAAAATTAGTAGAAAGTGGGCACGTTGCCTACGTACAGGACTATGTAAATAAAGGAGTCGGTCATCAGATCAATTGCTATGTTGTGAGACAAACATCTCTCAGCTTAAATCCATACAAAGTAGAATTATCTGTAAGTACATTATTGCCTGTGCTTGACAAATGTAGGTTATGGTAACATATACATAAATGTGTAATTTATTTATCAGATTAACGAAGACCGCTGTATCTCCGACGTTAGCTGCGAATGTGTAGCTAATCAGAGCCAAAAGTGTAAGCACATCGCAGCACTGATCTATTTTATCAATACAAGCGATAGCCTGAGTAAAACTAATTTTGAGCAAATAATCCACTGCTCCTTTTGTTTTGTTTCATAGGGTCTACTTGGGAATTTATACAGCACCACCCCCTGCTTTTCTTTCTTGTTGCAATTAACAACGCAACACTGTCTAGTACGCATTTCGTTACTTTGTAAACGTAAACACTGATTCAGATTATACAGCTAGCGGCAGCCTAAGTACGTCGACTGCTTGGAGTAGTTGGAGTTCTTGCTCTCACGTATACAACATTACAGATAAGTATGTGTGTTGTGTACTATATGACAGATGATATTTAATAACCCATGATTTAAAATTTCGGGCGATTTGAAGTGCCTAGCAAAATTATTTATCCGTATTATAGACCCGGTTTGGCTAAATAACATTTTTTTTCCGCCTTCGATTTCTCAACTAATTACTTTAAATGAAATAATATCTTTTCTTAAATAAGACAACGCTTATTGTAAGATTCATGGGGGTACGGGTTCGCCAACTTTGCTCACCTACAGCGCTGCAGTCGTTTTTTTTATCCCCTCCACAGTGTTGGGTTAGGAGGATATTATTTTGCATTTTTATCACTATGCCCTATATATAGCTACAGATCCTAGTGAGAAAAATGCAAAAGCTGAATAGGAGGGGGGAGGAGGCCAGTAGTTCTCCCCAAATGTGACTGGCAAACTTGTGGGAAATTCAAACTGGCAGTGTGGTGCAAGCAAGACGCAAATACCCAGATAACTCGACACAATTCCGTGCACAATAACTTAATAAACTAATCCCAAGCTATTTAACCCAATAACCCAATGAGCCAATAAGCAGCCTTATGAGTTTAAATAAATAAAAAAATTTATTAATTAATAAAGCAAGCACCAATCCCCACACGATCCTCGATGATCTTCCATCTCTTACTTATGGTTCATATTTTCAAACAATAACTTCAGAAAAGTCTCGTTTTACAATTAAAGACAAAATAATATGTAGAATCTTACTACGTATTTTAAATTTCTTTTCAAATTTACTTCTACCTCTATTCGCCAAAATTTTATTGTAGATACAAAAGTAACACATTTAAAAAACTAGATAAATATAATTCATTTACTTGTAATAAATAATTTATTTTAGTACCGCACTTTACGTTTCACCACAAATTCTACGTGAGAATGTTATGTGAGAAAATTTCATGAGAAATCTGTGTGAGATTATGGCATGGGTCATTGGATATTAGGCTCTCGTGTTATTAATTAATAATTTAATATCTATAAGAGTGGCCAGTAAGCG